CTCCTTTTCCTTTTCCAGTCCTTCTCAAGTGATTTATATTTCAATTTTCTTTAACTTTTGACTCCTCTTCAGAGTGTGGAATGAAGCCCTGTGGCTCCATCTGTACCTGTCCTACTGTAGGCGTAATCTTCTGGTTTTGTTTGCTCTGTTCTCATCTACTATACCCAGCACATTTTAAGGATACTTCTCTCTTTTGATCACCGACACACTGCTGATATTCAGGGCTGACACAGTGGAATGCCAGTTTTCACATTAAGTACAAACCTTCTTTGGGTTTGGCCCCTCTGCATATTCAGAATGTCAGCTCATGAGAATTTAACTGCACCCATATGACACAGCCCAGGCACAATGTCCTGGATACCATCTTAATCCTATATAAATTTTGAAAATTTGTTGGTATTCTAGAAATGTGAGTACCATTCATGACAAATTGAAAGTAAGGAAAGAGCAGAAATATTGACACAGACACACGTACAATCTGCTAAAGAAACTGAGCCCGAGGATTATTTTGCTTTCTTTACCCAATCAGTCAGTTAGAGCCAAAGCACAGAGCTGGGAGATTAGCCCACGTTTTTTTGAAGCATTGTGGAAATTCAAAGCCTTTCTTGCTTTCTTTTCTTTCTAGTTATTAACATGCCCAGGTTAAGTGGCCGGCCTTTGTTTTATTGCCCTCCAACATAATCTAATTTTTTATATCAAGGATTAATGATAAATGTAGTTCAGGAAAGGAAGATTATGTTAATGGGACAGTATGTTGTTCTGTGAAAGATATACTTTTATCATGTTGCTGTTGTTATTCATAATCAATTATGACTCTGGCCAAAGAATACTGGGGTTTTATTTGATTTCAAATACAAATGTGTGAGAATATCATCTAAACTAATAAATATATATCAAAATCCTGCACACATTTTGTATAAGTAGTCTATAATAATAGTCCGTTTTTATGCACTAAGTACACTAATTACCGGTCCACCTGTTCTCATCCAAACTAATACCAGCATTTAGTTTTTCATCCAGCAAATATTAATCAAACAGGGAGTGCCCACCTGGAGATGCAGATCTCCACAGAGGACGTCAAGATGACATTGACATTAATTCTCTTCTCAGAGAATACACAGTCCAGTAAAAGGCACAAACAAATTATAGGATGTGACAAATTATACAAAACAGAGAGAAAACCTCTAGGGGACTTTAGAAGAAGAAAACACCATTCAAGTTGGGGATGCTATGAACGCAGTTATTCCAATGGTCTTGTGATTATAGAAAATAGAACACCTTTATTATCTGTCCTAGAATTAATCCCAACATAAATATTATTACCAGTACGTTTGCTTTTACCAAAATACAACACTAATGATGACTTCAGAAATTAATACTTTGTTCATGGATGTGCCTTTATAAGCATCTTCCCTGGGAGCCCTTAAGGGCATCCCTTGGGCAATTTCTTGATTATTGCATCAGGGAGGAGTAGTTCAAGGCTAACTCTTGAGGTATAAATTCTCCCACCTTCAGAAACTTTGGCAAGGATAAGAAATCAATATACTTCCACAGGTAAGTCCTGAAATTCAGGAACTCGTAAGAAATTGGCTTCTGTTTTTATTGTTTCCTTATTTCGAATGAAAACAGAATTTGTAGAGACCACGGCAATAGTCACAGTAAGAAAATACTATCAGGAGCAGTCCCCAGAATCTCAACAGAGAGAAGTGACTTCTGATGAGTTAGGAGGTCAGACAAGTATTACAATCATCCCATTATGTATAGGTCCATTACTCACAAGTCAAATAAAATTTAGAGTGGCCTTTTATGCTGAGCTCTAGCCAATTATTGGATTTCAAGCAGTCCATACATTGTTTTTATTAACTGTTTACTTCTCCACATGAATCAAGCCCTGAGCCTCAGTTAACTCAAAGGCTCTCCCCTTTCCTCCTTTCCCTTCAGTTCAGCAAGGCTTGAGGTAAGGTTGTGGAGAAGCTTAGATTCTCCTCCAGAGCTTTCATGAGCCAATAGTGTACTACAAGGACTAAAATCTGAGGCTTAGGTTTTTTTCTACTTCTGAAGTTACAAAGAAAAATGTCATGTGCATCGATGACAGTGAGATTTACACTTCGGCAGCCTTATGAAAATATTTTATAATCCACAGTAAGGGATTAATACACGTTGACAGCATGTAAAAATACCTGATTTTTGAATGAAAAAGCCTACTTAATTGGTTGTTTGAATTGTCTAGTTCAATTATTAAATGGTTGTGCATTAAAAACAAATGGAAATATATTAAAAATATCACAGCAATGTGTGTATCCTACCTGAATTGGGCTAAGGTTTATCATTGTTTTTATTTTGTTATTTTTTTGAGACAGGATCTCACTATGCCATTTAGGCTGGTCTTGAACTCACGTTATAGCCAATGCTGGCCTCAAACTCACCATGATCCTCCTGCCTCAGCCTCCCAAGTTCTGGGACTACAGGTGTGTGCCACCATGCCTGGCTATCATTGTTTTTAAAAGCCCCACACCTGACTCTCATGTGAAATTTGAGTTGAGAACCGTGGATTCAAATGTGAATAAATGATTTTAGTAAAATCATATGCCAGGAGATCTCCTTAGGAGATAAAAATTTTTTCTATCCTCTTATACATTCTGTAGCAATGATGAAAGGAAGTTTATTCTTTCAGTCTAGGGTCAACTTTTACTTAACTTCCACAATTCACTCTACAAGTTCTAAGGATCAATTGTATGGACTTTACATCTATCATCACTAGCTCCAGCTTTATTATTTAAATAAACCCTAATTTCTCTAATTGTGCTTTTTCCTGGATGTTCTTCTCAAGGTATACAGTGTTTTTCATAGTAACTTAGACTTCAATGATAGTATCAAAGCCATGATAAATCTACAACCCACAAAAAATCAGTGGATGGGGATTTTAAAAGTTACTTCACTGATTCATTAACTTATTCAGTGAGTGATTAATTAATACTTTGATTCAGGCATCTGTCCTTGTTCCAGAAATATGGTATCAATAAAGTTCCTGCCTGCATGTAGCTAACATTACAGAAGAGGGGATGCCAACACATAAATAATTTCAGAAGCATTAAATGACAGGAGGTAAACTACAGAACACTTCATGATGACAGTTATTGGAATGGAGGTAACTTAGATAAGCATTCAGAAATGTCTGTGTCAGAAGAAGCATTATTAGAAGAAAGATTTTTAAAAGTGAGTAATGTGTCTGTGACATTTAATTTCTCTGAATAAGGTGCTTCTAGAAAGATGTGTAAAGATCCTGTGGATGCTTGATCTTGTGTAAAGAATAGATTTTGATTGTGAGGGGATGAATTTCAAGAGCCAAAATTATTTTAGTCTATCTCAGGCCTTTATAAAATGGGGCCAATTATTTCTACCCATTGTACCTGGCCAGTTGCATGACTTTTAGGGTAAACCTCTCAGAGTGTACTCTGAAGCTTAGCCTACACCTAACTTCCACCACACCTATCACTAAAAATACTACAAAACTGCATATGGCCTTAAAACAAAGATTCCCCTGTTTTGGTGCCGCATGTCTGCATAACACTTCCACCAACACTTTAGTTGAAGGTCTTGGCTTAAAAGCATCTCTGCCATGTGATCACAAAGGATCACATAATTTTCCACAGTAGAATGTAGTATTTGGTGTAACTTGAACCTGTGTTCCCAAGCCATGATCATTCACATTTGTCTCAGAATAATCTATTTGTTATTGGATTAAAGTGGAGTTGCTACTTTACCATCGTAAATCACTCAACGTTCTGGGGACAGAATATTCAGGGCAAGTGGACCATTGCCTGTGAAGACCTAGGTGAGAATGTGCAGTGCATATTCAAGGAACAAGAAGAAGGTCAAAGTGGCAGGGGTTGCAGACTTTGGAGCTCAGGACAGAAAGACATCACATAGGAACCTGGTAAAAGTTTGTATTTAGCACAAGTATGATGGCAAACCTTGGACTGTTCTACCAAGACAGAAAGATAATGTGCTTTATTTACATAAACAATCACCAGCTAGTGCTAAAGAATAGGGATTCTAAGTGTGGAAGAAGAAGGCTCAACTGTGGTAGGTTAGCTTTGTGATAATTTTTCTTAGTTCTGACTGATAGTGGAGAAACTGCCAGGCAGTGTTAACAGTCACTGGTTGAAGAATTCCTCGTGGGGCTGGGGCTTTAGCTCAGCAGCAAAGCACCTGCCTGGCAAGTGCAAGGTCATGAGTTCAGTTCCCAGTACTGGAGAAAAACCAAAAAAAAAAAAAAAAACCAACAAAAAAAAGAAGAATTCCTCATGGTTCAGATATAAGAGGTGAAGTTAAAGATGTGAGATAAGTTGAAATATGAGTAAGAAATATGAAAAAATTGGGCTAATGTGACATAAAATATTTTATGAAGCACAAGTGAATATTTAAGTGAATGTGTAGCTATTGCTTGGGAACAAATGAGTTGGAATGAACAGAAAGCCAACGAACCAAGTTATGTTCATTGCTATTGGAAAATAAAGAAATGAGGGAGAAATGGACCCTGAATGTATGTACAATAAATTCTCATGCAGTGTGTGACCTTCTCATACACAAAAGGTGTTGCTCTGCTAGCAATGATAAAACAGGTCTACATAGTCTTCCATAGGTCACACTCTCTTCTCAGACTATGGCAGTAACCAAGTGTGAGGACAGGGGTCTTGAACCAAAGGTCCAGTTGGAACAATAAGGAGCAAAATTAAACCTCACATGAGTTAGCAGAGTCCATGTGCGAACTGCACAATGGGAGGAAAAGACTCCAAAATCCCTCCTACTTCCTGCTTTAATCAATGACACAAAACACTTCCGGTAGCTATCAGTACCTCCATATCTGAAGGAAATTACCTCTAGGAACCTCTTTCAAAACCAGTGTTTGTGCTGCACATTGAGTTGAGCTATTCTTGGATTGTTCATATTTTATTTCTTTTTATACTGACACCTCCATCTCGTTTTTGTTAGAGGCTATGAGGACAAAGATGGATCCCAAACGCAATGGCACTGAGGCTACCGAGTTCATCCTCCTGGGACTGACCAGCCGGCCAGAGCTGCAGCCTGTCCTTTTCACAGTGTTTCTCTTGATTTACCTCATCACACTGACTGGAAACTTTGGGATGATCTTTCTGATCAGATTCACTCCCCGGCTGCAAACCCCCATGTACTTCTTCCTCACCCATTTAGCATGTGTGGACATCTTCTACTCCACTAATGTCTCCCCACAGATGCTCGTCAATTTCTTATCTGAGAAGAAGAGCATTTCCTACGCTGGCTGTTTGACCCAGTGCTTTGTGTTTGTGACTTTGCTGCTCACCGAGTACTACATCCTCGGCGCCATGGCCTATGACAGGTACATGGCCATCTGCAACCCCCTTCGTTACAGCAGCAAAATGTCCAGGCCCGTCTGCATCTGCCTGGTCACCTTGCCCTATGTCTGGGGCTCTGCAGTGGCCACGATGCAGGTAACGCTGACCTCTCGCTTGTCCTTTTGTGGACCCAACACCATCAACCATTTCTACTGTGCTGATCCCCCACTCTTAATGTTGACGTGTTCTGACACTTCCATAAAGCAAACCGCCCTGTTCGTGTCAGCAGGGATAAACCTCACCTGCTCCCTGCTCATCATCCTCACCTCCTACATCTTCATCTTCACCACCATCGTGAGGATCCGTTCCAGTGAAGGGCAGCGCAAAGCCATCTCCACGTGCGGGTCTCATCTGACAGCGGTCTCTATGTTCTACGGGTCCCTCTTCTGCATGTATCTGAGACCAGCGAACAAGCAGTCTGTCGAGCAGGGGAAAATTGTGGCGGTGTTTTGTATCTTCGTGAACCCTATGCTGAACCCATTTATCTACAGCCTGAGGAACAAGGATGTCAAGCAGGCTTTGAGAGGAGTGTTGGTTAGAAGCCTTAGTAAAGTAGACAAAACTTCAGCATCTACAGTCTCCCACTGAAGGAATTTAAAAAAACTTAAAAGAGTCAACAAGTGTCCCTCATTTATCCTAAGTGACTGTAATTCTCTGGAATCAAAACAATAAGTCTTTGTATCCAACGATTAGTGTGAGGTCACATGAGAATCTGGTGAAATAATGTGACAGTTAGAATGAAGACTGACTGTGAACACAGCACGGAATTCAGCCTTTTGGGTCCAGCACAGTTTTGTGTTTCTGATTTCTACCAGAATAGTTGGAGGATAAGTTCTTCCTTTCTCTAGCTAGCTCATCAATATTGAGTGTCTCTGACCTACTTTTATGAGCACAGCAAAGTGATTTATAAAATATTCCCTGAATGAGAAAATGGTTTCCATTCATATATCATGTTGTGTCATTTTCTTTAGTAAAATTTGATTATTTCCAAAAGATGCTCATACTGAGGAGTGCAGATGTTTTAGACTTTACTTTTATGCTATTTTTATGTTGACTTATGGTGAACTGAAAACCGTATGTGTTTTATTATTTAACAAAGAAACAGTTTACATACTTCTATGAACCTGTGATTTGCTTCACTGGTTTTCTTTAATCAAAGTAGTTCATCTTCCTAATGGAAGGTAATCACTCCTAAATTAGTTTGTTCCATTTTCCCAGAGGTGATTTATGTAAAGTTGTCACTACAATATTATTAATAACTATCTGTTATATCACATTTGCATATTGTGGTGTGCAAAATCTCCACCAACGAGTGGATATCACGGTTTCCTGCCTCCCAAGTTGCACAAGGAATGTTCACACTCATTCTGTGTTTTTGCATGTGGTGCATACAAAATGTACCTAGACAGGATCTACGTCAAATACACTTTATTGAAACTCGGCTTTCCTTCTTTTCTCTTCTTTCCCATGTCATACACTGGAGGCAAAGGTGATGTTGATAATTTTCTCTCAAGCATAAATATTTTTAAGTCTTTTATTTCTAGGAGCTTCCTCTAGAAAAATGTTTTACAGCATAAATACAAGTTTTTCTTCTCCATATTTAAAGATGGTAGATAGTGATATTGACATTGCTGCTTCCTACCCTACAAATCCCCCAAAAAACATAAAACAAAGAAACAAAAAAATCTATAAAACATAATCTTTAAAGCCATGAAAAGCTTTATTCAGAAACGCAATGTTCTTATGAAGAAAAAATAATAGGAGCTTGAATTGGAAGGTATCTGGGTGACAAACTACTTAAATGAGACAGATCAAATTTTGTATTTACTTACTTACATGTTTAAATTCCAAATGAACAGAGAATGTTCAGCTTATACTTTGTGATCTAGAATATATTAGGAATATGGAATTTGTGATTACTTGTTTTCTTGGTTATAATAACTATAATTAGTCATAATGGAAAATGTGGACATACATCTAAAGAAAAAATTTCTGGATTTCTTCAGACCTCATATTTGACAAGTTTTCATAATGTGTATATTATTCTTCTTTCTTTTTTATGATACTTTCTTTCCTTAGTGGAAATATCATCATTTACTGGCTACATGGCAGCCAATGCAAGAGTGTGTCACTAGGCAATAATATAGTTCTTATAGTCACAGCATCACGTCTTTCAAGTGTTCTCACAATTTATGGCCAGATCCTATTCTGTCCAGGAGATGCATGTATTTTATCAGCTGATGAAGGCAGGCAGTGCTCAGTGTGGTTGCCTTGTAACAGACAACCACATAAAGCAAGGTTGTGTTTCCAGCGTAGACACATGACACTTAACACAGCATTATGCAAGGTGATGGTGGCTGGATTATACAGCATGTGCTTTTCTAGTCAGTGAATAGATATCTTTATGAAAACACTCAAGCAAATTTCTTAACATGTCAGCATGTCATCATTGACTACAGAGACATGACTAAATAGAAAAGAAATTATGAAATAATAGAAAATTAGAATAGTAGAAATTATACTGAATTTCTGAATAATAGAAAATATATTATGTTAATATCCAAAAATTATATACTATTGCTTTTCCTGGCAAAACCAATAAATGAAAGTGTCCAACACTGGAACTTTTCTAGATGTAAAAACACAAGTATAAAAAGCTTAAATACCACTGTTAATGTTTTTAGAAGGCTGTGTTTCATTTCCACTGGACAGTGATTCACAGCAGAATTCAGCACATTTTTTCCTTCACATTTGTCATAAAAGCCTCTAAGAAGACGACTTCCAGAACAGGTGCACAAAGTAGCAGGAAAGTTAGGACAGGTGTGCTGTGAGAAAGGGGCATGCACTGAGGGGATGACTTGTAATATTCCTTTCTGTGTAATAAATTTTCAAATGTAAACATTCACTGTCAATTTCTATCACTTTTAGATGAAGTTATTAAATGAAATTCTAACACTAATCTGGGAATACCTGGAATTTCTTTACAAAAATATACATTCCAAATTCAATATGAGAGCTTTTATTAAAATAGTTTATAGTGAGTGTTCTATCTTCAGAAGCAAAAGAATAAAATTTCCAGTGACAGTACAGGGTGATAAACAAGTCATGATGCCAGAGTACTAGTTTTATGACTTTCTGAATTCACCTCCTCACTGGGGCACTTAGGGATTACAATTAAACACACACTAAACTGTAATTTTCTGAAAAAAGTTTACCCTGACCAAGAGCTGCATGGCACGGATCACATCCTTGTTCCTTAAGCTGTAGATCAATGGATTCAGCATTGGGCTCAAAAAAGTATAAAACACAGCAATTACTTTGGACTCTTCCACAGACTTCTCAGACGGAGGTCTTAAGTACATGCAGAACAGCGTTCCATAAAATATGGTGACCGTCGTCAGGTGGGAACCACAAGTAGAAAAGGCTTTGCGCCTGCCTTCTGCAGAACGAATCTTCAGGATGGCCGCAGCAATGAAAATGTAGGACAGAAGGATAACCAAGAGAGAGCTGGACAGAGTGAAGGCAGCAACAACGAACATCGCCATCTCTTTGACCCGGGCATCAGAGCAGGTCAACACTAACAGTGGAGGGTCGGCGCAGTAGAAGTGATTGATTTCCAGGGAGCCACAGAAGGACAAGTGGAAAGTCAGCAGGGCCTGAGACAGCCCATTCACGAAGCCGAACAGGTAAGGGAAGCTGACCAGCGAGACACAGACGCGCCTGGACATCCTGCTACTGTAGTGCAGAGGGCTGCAAATGGCCACATAGCGATCCAGGGCCATGCACGCCAGCATGTAAAACTCGGCAATAACCAGGGCGATGAAGAAGAAGCACTGTGTGAAGCAGCCTGCCAGGGAAATGGTCTTCTGATCGGAGAGGAGGTTGTGCAGCATGTTCGGAGTAACGTTGGAGGAGTAGCAAACGTCCACAAAGGAGAGGTGGCCCAGGAAGAAGTACATGGGGGTCTGGAGGTGGGGAGTGGTGCGGATGAGCAGGATCATGCACAGATTTCCTGCCAGCGTGATCAGGTAGACCAGCAGGAACACCGCGAACAGCACCTTCTCCAGCGTGGGGTTGTCTGTGAGCCCCAGGAGAATGAAATCCATCACTAGGGTGTGGTTAGGGGAGGACATTTTCTTATTCCTTGAAACCTGAGGATGACAGAGGATGTGAAAAGTTCTGTATCTCTAGAGTCTGCATTTAACTTATTTGATCTCTCATTTACTAACTTGTCTGTTTACCTGTCAGACACTTCTCAACAGAAGCATCAATTTTTCTCTTTTTTAAATTAATCTTATAGGTACATTTTAGATACAGACAATGATCATATTTATCCTAGGGAATTTGTCCCTGGACATGTGGGTGTCATCAGTCTTGTCTTTATCTCACATGCAGGCACACATACACTTCTTCCCCAAATATTTGCATATTTATATATAATGTAAATATACAATTAATATTCGTATACATTTGCCCATTTGTACCTGGCTTTTTTCAGCACTCTGTATGTTATCTATTTTTTCCCAAATGTGTAAGAAAAATGCAAGAGTTAAAATATGACATGCCTATCAGGAAGTCATTTACATCATCTATATAGATAAATCATGTAGTTCTTCCCTCCCTGGTTCCTTCCACTATGATATCCTCCTGTTCTAGGTACAGAATAAAAGATAAACATTCCTTGAGAAACTCCACTAAAAGCCAAAAGGCCATCTCTCTTAACTGCTTTTGCAGCAAACCACAGTTCTGAAATATAACTCTCAACTAAAAATACATCAAATGAACAACTAACACATCAAATGCACAACTAAAACTATACCAAATCAAGAGTTGTTCTCTCTGCTTTGGAGCTATATATACAGATATGTTATTTATTCATGTGCCCCACCAAGACTGCGATAATTCTACTGTAGGACATCGAGTACCAGTAATAAATTTTATACCTGCTCTGAGTTTACTCTGCAGTGCAGAGGAAACAGACAAGAAATCTGTAGGCAAAGCTACACATGTACTTTTAGATAAAGGCTAGCACTATGACATTAAATTAAGGTGGAATGTTTCAGCTGGACAGAAATACTTCTCAGGATGGAAGCATGTCAATAGTTTATAAGCAAGGCACATACCTGTGATGTTTTAGTTCTGATTATTTTGCATCATTAACCCACTAGTGGAATATTTTAGAAAAGCGCAGATGTGTAAATGTGGCCTCTGTACAAGTCTGATCCACTCTCCCGGGTCTTCACAGGAAGTCTCATATGAATTTGACATTTCTGAAGTACTAGACCTTCATTACTGGATTTCCATGTACTCATCATAAGAGATTCATATAATAATGGGCTTTTAGAGATTCAAAAAATATAATCACTTGAATAAAAAAGCAATAAATGAAAATATTTTCCCAAATTATTAAGATACTCGTCTACATAAAACCCAAGACTAATTTTGAGTTCCAAGTACAGATGATAACCTACCTGTAAATATTGTCTCCCATAATTTATACAAAGAAAGTGGGGAGACTTATAATGTATTTTTCTCATAGTTCCTTGAGGATTTTTAAAATAATTCTAAATAACTAATTAAAATATTCTCTATTCCCCAAGAGCATACCCTTAATTTGATGCTTTGAGAAGCTAGATTCTCCTTTGAGTCCATAGTCTCCAGCTAACTTTTGCGTAAACAGCTTCCACTAGGGTGTCTCCTCTACCACACCTTCCACCGTGGTGTCCCATCCACCGCATCCTCCAACACATTTCCTCCACCATGATGTTTCTTGCTTGGAGCCAGCTGGCTGTGGAATGAAAATTCTGACACCAAGTGCCAAAATAAACTTTTTTCTCCTTTTAACTATATATTTTAGGTATTTTTCTCAGCTGGAAATTTGACTAATACAGAAAGATTTCTTCTGTTAATTCACAACTTCATTCCTACACCAGCACACACACACACAGTACTCTAACTATGCGTATCTCAAAAACTAGAGTAAATTTTTAAATTTTAAAAAATGATTACAGCAAAAAGGACACTGCCATAAATCTCCCTCACTTGTCCCTTCATTCTTACCAACGTTTGAAGAAGTTCTGGAAATTCTGTTTTGTCAGTGTCTCTAGTTGTCCTTTCTGAACTGATTCAGTGTCCTAAATTGAATAAATCTTTACCATTCACAGTCATTTGACTTTGTTGGAGAACCAGCAGTGACACCGCACCAGATTCAGTTAGCAAGACAGATGAAGATGTACTGTAATGCTGACAGAAATTGCCAATAACATTTTGAATCAACTCAGAACATAAAGGCATCCACGGAAGAGGATTTCCAAAACTTCTCCTAAAGAATGACAAGACAAATGGGATAAGGATACTGACAGGCAAGGGGAATATTTTCAGGAGAGTTAATGGCATTGTGTCTTCTAGTTAAACATTCACTGCATTTGCGAGTCACATCTCGTATACACAATGGACGTCTAGACATTTCATGCATTAATAGTTATTTTTCTAAAAAGAACCAACTTGGTCTGCAATGCAATCATCCTGAACATGTATAAAGTTGAGGGCATTTTGTGAAAAACCTATTTAAGCAAATAAACTACTCCATAGACTGACAGGAGAGAGTGCCAGGTGGCACTGAGACGACATCCCAGATCCAGGTTTATGTTAGGCAGAATTACATTTCTGTCCCTTGATAGAAAAAATTCCGGCCTTGCGCCCAGGCAGTGAGTTCTCTGGGAGTGGCAGGGCTCCTGGGTCCGAGTGTGGGCCGGACACATACCACCACGATTCCCAGCTGAAAAGCGCACACAGAGCCAGGAAGGCC